GCATTTGTGTTGAGTTATGTGGTGACATTTGTGTTGTGTGTGTGTGGTGACGTTTGTGTTGTGTGAATGTGGTAGCGTTTGTGCTGTGTGTGTGTGGTAGCATTTGTGCTGTGTTGTATGATGGCATTTGTGCAGTGTTTGTGTGGTGGCACTTGTGCTGTGCGTGTGTGGTGGCACTTGTGCTGTGCGTGTGTGGTGGCATTTGTGCTGGGTTTGTGTGGTGGCATTTGTGCTGTGTGTGTGTGTGTGTGGTGACATTTGTGCTGTGCATAGGTGATAAAAACGGTCTCACAGCAGTACAAAAGAGCACACCCCATGGTGTGTAGGCCAGCTTCCGTAGCGGGAAGCAGAACCATGCTATGAATTGGAAACTTGCTTTTAGTAGTTCAGACCCAAAAGCAAAACTGATCATGTGCCATGTTGGAGGGAGCTGATGTCATTAGCCAAGTTGAGTGTGACCAGGAGCCTATGGATGTGTGTGGTGACTCCTTCCAGATGTGACCGTCTTGTGTGCGCACTTCATTGTGTCCTTCCATGCTTCACCCCAGCAGCACAGTTTTGAGTTTCTTTAGCCCAGCAGCCGGCCTTTGTTCCCTGTTGTAAAGACGGAGCCCTTTCCTATTCGGACCTTTTCATCTTTCTTTCCTCCCCTGCTAAAACATTCTTTTCATGAAGAGTGGCTTGACACCGTTGAAGCTGCCAAGTTTGGTTCATGTGGTAATTTGGGCAGACGTGTTGCCAATGAGCCCATTAGTGTCATTGTCTGACCCTTTCCTGTTTCTCCATCACATCCAGAATATATATTTTTTAACTGGTCTTGGGCACTGATTACTCAAAACCTCATTTTGTCTCTTGCAGGTACAGGATTATCATGGACATAAAATTTGTGATCCTTATGCTTGGCTTGAAGACCCAGACAGCGAGCAGACAAAGGTAATTTTGTCTCATGATCCGCAGCCTTAGTGAGCAGCCCTCACCGGCCCATGTCTGTAGCTCCTAGAGCTTTCCCTTCCTGTGTTTGCTGTGCTTCTGCCTTGGGACAGGGTGTGTACCTGTGGGCATCCCAACTTTTTGTGAGGGGAAAAAAGGAGAAAACACATTAAATCCTCAGAGTGAATAAATGTTAAGGAAATGTGGCTTGTCCTGACACTGCTGAACAATGTATTTGGAGTGAAAATATGAGAAGGAATGGAAGAAAAAAGGTTGTACTAGAGAAAAACATGGCACGAAGGAAAAATGGCCTAGTATATCTTGGGGTGGAGCAAAGAAATAAAAATCCTGCACATTAGACAAATGGTAGTTTTGATAGTCAATGCTGGTTTTAACACAGCAAAGAAAGTTGTGAATAGGAGAATAGGAGAATATTGTTAGGCATTGCTAAAGTCAGGGCAGAGGGAAAACTCTAAGAACATAAAACTTTTGTTGTTGTTTGGAGAAACATTTGAATGGCTCAGCCAAAGTCCCATTTCCCTAGTGAAGTTCTGCTCAAACACTGAAATGGAGAGTGTTCCTTTACGTTGTCGAACTTCTCAGTATATGTGCTAAGTGATTAGCTTTCTTTGGGAGGGACGACCGTGTCTCAAATTCACCTTTATGTTCTCTTTTGTTTTTCGAGGCCGGGTTTCTTTATTAATTTCTTTTCTGGTTGTCCTGTAACTCTGTCTGTAGACCAGGCTAGCCTCGAATTTAGGGATCCTCCCGTCTGCCTCCAGAGTGCTGAGATTAAAGGTGTGGGATAAAACCACCACAGCTGGCTCTCAGATTCATCTTAAGTTCCTAACCTCTTTGAGGTGTAGCCACAAACTTTGTCCCTGAGGACATGTGTACCGGGGCTGGGGAAATGGCTCATCAGCAAAGTGTCTGCCACGCAAGCCTGCGGACCTGAGTTCAGATCACCCACGCGCATAGAAAGCTGGGTGTACCCTGTGATCCAAGAGCTGGGGAGGTAGAGTTGCCAGGATCCAGGGGTTTTGCTGGTGAGGCAGTCTAACAGAATCAGTAGACTTCTGGCCTCCACATGCACTCAACACCCATCTACATATATAAGCACACACACACGCACGCACGCACGCACACAGAACACAAAGGAGACCATGCATACATGTTCTGTTTCTAATATGCTCGTTGCCCAACTTGACATATACTTGTCACCTGGGAAAGGGGGACCTCAGCTAGGAAATTGCCTGCGTCAGATTGGCCCATGGACGAGTCTGTGGGGGCATTTTTCTTGACTGTTGAGATGGGAAGGTTCAGCCTGCCATGGATGGTACCATCCTTAAATAGGTGGGCCTGGGCTGTACAAGAAAGGTAGGGGAGCAAGTCAGTAATTAGTGTCCTGCATGGTCTCAGCTGCAGTTCTGCCCCTGCTTCCTGCTGTCTTGGTTTGTACAGCCTGCAGGCCAGATAAATCCCCTTCCCCAAGCTAAAAGCTAGGGAATACTGCCATTTCACAAAGTTGGGTGTCTTTAGGATTCTAGCACATATGTCCCCCTTAAAATTTTTTTTCAATTTTTAATTTAAAAGAAAAACAACAGTCACATGGTGCCCAGGTCATTTTTCAGCCCCGTCTCCGTATCCTGTATCTGTGTGTCATGGGCCCACGGCACCATGCCATTCAGTGAACTGAATTCAGATTTGCAAATCTGCCTTCATTCTCTGGAAAGCGGCAGCTGGTGGAATTGGGCTCTTCCTGCTTCAGCAAGGAGAGAACTGCTGTAGGCTCCCCTAGAGCACATGAGACATAGCAGAGGAGGGATCACTCTGGCCAGAGTTCACGCCATCTCTGTCTCCTTCCTTCTAGCCCACGAGGGGCTTGCTTGCTCCACTTGGCTTTGCCAGCTTCACCGATCCCGTGTGACTGGAGCCACCTTCTCTGTTCACCATGGTTCTTTCAGGTTCCTTCCTACTCTGCATTCCTGAACTCAGTGCCTTTCACCTGGAGGTTTTCTGGTCCGCAATCCACCATTCGTTTCCCATCTCCCCTCAAGAAAGACCAAATTCTCACAGTTGAGGAGTGACCCTGGACTTGAATGTTTCTCTTAAGGGTTTCCAGCACATTGTCCAGAAAGCTGCCCCCAGTGAAGTGCTAATTCCTTTGCCTAAGATGTCTGGTCCAACCCTGGTTTCTCCAGCCTCTGACGCTGGTTGTCCAAGTTCTTTAGTACTCTCAGACTGACCAGACGCACTTGGTGTGTTCCTGTGTTCCTAATGACTGACCCTATGGATTATAAGCCACTTATTAGTGGGTGCCAAGCTTCCAGTTAATAGATGACATTTTGCTAATTAGTGATGCAGTCAGCCTTTGATGGATGCTAATAATGCATTATTATTTTCATGGTTCAGATTTATTGTATGCTTACTGTGTGTCAGACACTTTACTGAGAGCTTTGCCTACCCTAGCGTATTTGATTCTTGGACTCTGAAGTAGATCTTTCTTCCAACGTTTTATAGGAAAGAAATTGAACTACTAAGTGTGATTTAGTAACTTGCCAAGGTCACCTTCTGGTGTATTTCCAGCAGCAGAGTAATTATCAAAAATTAAAATAAAAATAAAAGTGGAAGCCAGGTGGCGGTGGCGGTGCACATCTTTAATTCCAGTACTTGGGAGACAGAGCCAGGTGGATCCCTGTGAGTTTGAGGTTAGCCTGTTCTACAGAATGAGTTCTAGGACAGCCAGGGCTACACAGAAAAGCCCTGTCTCAAGAAACTAAAAACAAACAAAGAAACAAAAGTTGAAAGACTGAAAGAAAAATCCCTCGACCGTTGACTTGTATGAGCCTTGGGGACTCTGGCTGAAGGGACGTGTCTGTGACTGTGCCTGTCACCCTCCACTCCAGGGTCTGCTCACACGGCAGCTGTGGCTACTCTGCCTGCTCGCCGCCGCTTCACGCACAGCTTCCTTGTTCCTTCTAAAGAGGCCTCTAAAGGCAGTCCAGGGTCGTACTTGAAATTGAATGAGTTAAACTTTTATTTTCAGATTAAAAGGAAAACTGAGGAGAGTGTGTTTTCTTTCTTTGGGTGGGGCGGTTATAGGAGATGGGACACAGGGTTGTCCTGTGTGTGTGTGTGTGTGTGTGTGTGTGTGAGTGTGTGTGTCTGTCTGTCTGTGTGTCTGTTGTCGGTCGCACTGAACCTACTATTTACTGATTTGGTTAGATTGTTTGGCCCGCAAGCCCCAAGGACCCTCTGGTCTCCGCCTCCTTAGCCCTGGGATTTGGGATGACAGGCATGCCACCTCACTCAGCCTTTTATATGGGAGCTGGGGATCTAAACTCAGTACTTTACCAACTGAACTGTCTCTGCAGCCCCCCAAACCCGGGTCCCCTGCCTGCTGAGCAGATGCTGTGCCCCTGAGCTGCCTTCTCAGCCCTCTGTGCGTCAGTGGTTCCCCAGAGGAGTGTTAGCCATACTTGGTGGCAAGAGCAGAGCTTTTACACAGACTGCACAGAACACCAGCAAAAGCCGACTTGTCACATTTTCAGTGAAACGTGTCAGAAGCGAGAAACGCTGGCAGCTTTTTTGTACTGGGTCCTGAAATGCTCTGTGATTTAATCTAGTATTTAATGTGGGCTGTCTAACTCTGACTGGGCGCTTAGTGGACATATAACTTGGGAAACTCTCCGACAGGGACGGGGTGACACCTTTCACGTTGTTATTGCTGAGGACCCATTTTATAGCAGTGCACAGTCTGAGGCAGAGCCTGGGAGGGAGACTGGGCTGGGCTTCTAGGAGGCCCCACGTGACCTGCCAACCATGTGCCCTCCTGATCTGAGGGCAGGTGACCCTGGGGAGGAGACAGGCGCCTACCCTGAGGTTGTAATGCTAGCAGGCCAAAGGCTTTGGTGCCCAGCACGAATCAGCTGTGTCTCAGGGCTGAGAGAGCCATGGGACCACAGGGAAAGACCACACTGCGTAGGGGAGAACTGCGGGCATCACTGCCGCAGCTGAACAGGCTTTGCTTCTGGGGGTAAAGGCTTCCGTGTTGTCTGATGCTTCTTCGCGTTGCTGTTCAGCGAGTAGTGAAAATAAAAGATGCTTTAAGAAATAGACTCTCCCATTGTCTTGAAAAGCGCAGTGTTCCGTTCCTTTAGCTTCGATTTCTAGGTGTGTCCTGGGAAGCAGTTATATATTGATGTTTGGTTTGCCCTGCTCACTGGCTCCTGTGACTGCCCTCCCCCCTCCCCCCCAGGACCTGAGTCCCTTGGCCTCTGGAGGAAGTTCTGCCATCCTTTGGCCTGCTTTTGTCTGTGAGTGTCCTTGCCCCAGGAGAGGTCTGCTCAGCTCTGTTAGAATGGAAGGGTTCCTTCTGTGCACAGGAAAATCTCACTGGTTTATATGAGAGTCAGGTAACCAAGGGCATTTTCAGCATGAAATACTTGAGTCTCAGAGAGGTTTGCAGTCCTTCAGATCTTACCTGTAATGTGAAAAATAAATACATAAATGAGTCAGCCTGTGCTTCCTAGTCTCTCTGTGCCGGTCCACAAGCAGTTCTCCATGTTCCTGGATGTGCTTCCCTTTCCCCTCTATCACCTGCCCCAGACCCCAGACAGGCATTGATGCAGACTTCCTGGCTTTGCAGCGCTGCAGTAGGGAAAGCAGTGTGCGGTGAGCGGCAGCTGTAGTTGGGGTTTCGAGGGTGGGGCTTGCTGGCCATAGTGGCAGCTATGGCCCCAAAGCGCCCAGTCACAGGAGTGAGAGCTAGCCACCAAGGCTTCACAGTGTATTGTCGCTAGTGCTGTGCCTTGGGAAGTTGGGCCTCGTAAATGCAGTTGCGACTTTGTTTGAAACTTCCCATAGGTTTATCAGGTAAGCGACGAGCTTCTGTAAACCACTGTCTTAAAGATCTGTGGTGGCCTGGCTGCCAAGGCCAGCACCTTTCAGAAATCGCTATGCCTTACACAGGAGGAGCTCTGGTCCCCTGTATATCCTGTAAG